TCTCTCTCTCTCTCTCTCTCTCTCTCTCTCTCTCTCTCTCTCTCTCTACTGTGGCCCCAATGTGTACACGTAGGTGTGGAAGTTTTTAAACTGGTTATTGTACTGCCGTAATCACGGTATATTATGCATTTTTTGGACAGAATGTATTTTAAATTCTTTTTGGGGTAAATTTTAGAGCCTCACCAGCCATAACTACAAGAACAATGTTGCAGTGTGAACTTGGGCACATTAGGATCTTGTACTTAGGCCATGAGGCCTCTGTAGATCAAGGTTTGTGGCTTGAAAATGTTAAAGGTCACAGCCATAAGGGATTGGCTCAAACCTCATAAGAGTCACAACCTTACCTAAGCACAATCTTTATATATAGGACTGCAAGGATACTATAGCTATAGCCTATAGGCAGGTCATGAAGGACTATAATAGTACAGAAAGTCCTCTTACAATAGTACGAAAAAAAGCCCTCTAACAATAGTAGAGAATCTGAGAAAGGGAAAAAAGAAAACACAGCTTGAGCAGATCATGCATGGATGCCGACCTGCCTCGTTGGCAGGGGACTCGTAAGAATGAGAAGAGAAAGGGAAAAAAAGAAAACAACAACATTCAGAATCTGACCGTTTTAGCGGTAAGATTCATTCTGTGGAGGACTACGCGAGCACGGCCTCCTAGACCACCCTGGCCGACATCATTGCAGTAGAAAAAGTATCTTTCTTTTTTTTCTTTTTTTCTTTTTTTCCGCGCTCGCAAGAGATCACTTTTTCAAAGTAATGATGTGCCGCAGCCTTGGTTTCATGATTAGAAACACATGCTATGTTTCCACAAATGGATTGACAAGTAGGTCCATGTAATTGATCAATACTTTGTAAAACAACACAACCTTCCATTGCCTATATTTTGTTGAAAACCAAAGTGCATTATGATTCGAGTAATTTGTGTCTTATTATGATTCTTATATATATTTTTTGCATTGGATAAGATAACACATGTATAATGAAAATACAAACTCCTCCATGTGACCAAAATTCACAAAATCATATTCATTGGTGCAGAAGGTTTGAAGAAAAAGAAACTGAAATAGAGAGAAAAACAAAGAGAACAGCAGAAAGACTCTAGATACGACAAATCTGCAAGCAACTTGATGAAAATTACATGAAGAATCAAGGTTGCCGGCATTCGGGACGGGCCGAACACCCGAACGTTCAGGACCCCCTCTCGACGCGTTCGGCCGTTCGGCCGAACACCGACCAAAAAAAAAAAAAAAACGAATTCCAAAAAATCTTGAAAAAAAAAATGTTATGCAGAAAGAACAAACTGAACAACATTTGCATCAACGTTACATCCAAATTCGTTACCAAATTTGAAATAAAAATCAAATACGAAAAATAAATAATAATAATGAAAATTAGAAAAAATAAAACGAGAATGAAATTATTGAGTGGGCGAGCATATTTTTGACACCGCCATCTTTGGCGATTTTTCATTTTTTTTTGACTGTGACAAATGCCATGGAAATCTATATATGTGTATCTTACATAATACAGAATCTACAAATATAGTTTGAAAAAATAATAATGTTTTTCATGTCCCGAAATAAAGGAAAAACAAAAGGTGAAAAGAGAGAAAAAACAAATTAGTGAGTGGGCAAGCAAGTTTTGACACCACCATCATTGCCGATTTTTCTTTTTTTTTTGGCTGAACCGAATGCCTTGAAAATTAAGAGGAAGATACCTTATATTACAAAGACCTCACAAAAAAAAAAATTCAGAAAAGAATAATAATATTTAGGTGCCAAAATATTTTTTTGCGGGGTCCAAACCCCTTCGGGTTCGGGCCCCGTACGGGGACCCAAACGCCCAAACGTTCAGGGGTCAGCTTAGGGGCCTCCATACGTTCGGCCTGGCAACCCTATGAATAATAAATAAAACACACAAAAACACACTGTGATTGCTGTGCGCTTCCTGTGCACTTCTATCACGCGTGCGCAAGGAAAATGAGCGATAGCGAAATGACAGAAATCCAAAATGCAAAGTCAGATTGAAAGCCAGAAAGTTCAACGCTGTCCAGAAAGCAGAAATGTACTGATATTCCACAAATGGAGAACCAAAGCACCGAACTCAATCGTCAATGAGAGGATACTCTCGCCACCACCGACATATGTATCCAGAGCCCTTCCTCCTACTTGGCGCTCAGCGCCCAGACTACGATCACACAGCTACTACCCGCCTACGAATTGACAATGCAACCTGTTGACGTCAGCAGCCACAACCGACGTACGCGAAGATGTCGACCATGTAGACCATTGGCCAGACCAGGTACGTGCCCTCACATCAACATCCTCATCTCTCTCTCTCTCTCTCTCTCTCTCTCTCTCTCTCTCTCTCTCTCTCTCTCTCTCTCTCTCTCTCTCTCTCTCGCGCGCGCGCGCGCACGCACGCGTCTTCTCTACCCACGTCTTCCTTCCCATACACGAAGACTTCCACCACCTCCGCTGACCTCATCCAATTCCAAGCCCGGCCATGGGGGCTTGGCTATGCCGCTGCTGCAATGAATTGCAGTGTTACAAGCGGGCTGTATACTAATTTTGTCCTTGGTGTCGTTGTCGGGGCTTGATCCCGCAACCTTTGTCTGCTGTGTTGTCTGTTTGGTTGCTGTTTGTTTGATTTGAGCCTTGCGGGACTTGATCCCGTGACCTGTAACCTGTGTGTTTTGTTTGTGAGTGTTGAGCCCTATGGGACTGGATCCCTGAGTCTGTCACTAGTAGTCTCTGTTTGGTAGTCCTAGGCCATCCGGCCTTTTTCTTTTGCCTTGTCATAGGTCTAGGTGCCCTTTTCCCCTGATTCCATCTAGATACAGATGAGTCTTGGGTTGTGGCTTTTGGGAGTCCGCCGTAGGTCTAGGCAGAGGGTAGAAGTAGCGGGCAGGGAAATTAGTTCGGGTCTTTTCTCGTTTTTTCTGCTGGGGAAACTCTGCCCGTCCGTTGACGAAGCGTTGCTGCGTTATTTTGGGCTCGGGCATCTTCTTCCTCGAAGCCCAGCCATAGCTGGGGCGGGGACATGAAGTTGGAGATAGCACTGCTGCTATTCTGCAGCTCTGCACGAGAGCTGTGTTGTTGGGTTTGGGCACTGCATTTCTCCACTTGGCAGCCATATCTGCTGCCGTTCCTCCTCATGCGGTACTTCGTTTTTTTTTTCTCTTCTTCGAAGTGCTGGATCGGTTGTCTCCTTCTTCATCAGGACTTCCAGTGCTGCACTTCCGTGCAGGCGCTGAGCTGGCGCTGCTATCATTGGGGTTGCTGGTTCAGATGGGCACGTTGTGACAGCTGTGGGGTTACTGCTGCCACGGCAGCCATAGCCAGGGCTATGAGGTGGCGAGGAGGAAGAAGAAGACTCCTGTAGACTTCGTTGAACACTTGTTTTTGGTTGTTCGGGGTTGTTGTAAACGCAGTTGTGATTCTTGGACAAGTACTTTGGATCATACTTGCAAGCGGACGCCGTCCGGGCGGTTCCGCACGTGCGGCAGACCACCGGACCGGACCCGCGCGGCGCACGAATGTGCGCCCGACGACCAGTTACGCCCCACCCCC